GTTACCATCTGAAACGCTTTTGAGTATGTTTCTTTCTGACCTAGCTTTGCTGGCGGCTTTGCTTTTGCTTTCTGTGATCTAGTAAAGGTGCTTTCTGCCTCCTTAATCTGCAAAATGTTGAAAGAGACTTTGTATTGATGCTTCGGCACTTACTAACAAGGATACTGCAGCTTAATAGTTGAATGAGTTTTCAACTGGTGTTGCTCGGATGTGTTTCTGTGGACGATGGCATCTGCCTTTAATTAAACATGATTTTTGCCACACTTCCATGTTAAACAATTGATAATAAAAAAGATAAGGGCAAGCGGAAGAAGATTACATATTAAGAAAAGGAAATTGGAAAATCTTTTCAATAAAGAAGAATATGTTGAAGTGGGGAAAAACTCCCTGATGCAAGTGGTATGAGAAAGTATAAAATAATTGGTCTATTTTTGTTTAAGCTCTTTTTCATGGTTTTCCCCCTTGATACGTCATGGTGCAGGGCTTTCAAGATACACTAGTGATGAAAACCTTAAAAAAGCATTTGAACAATTTGGAAAACTTGTTGAAGGTAATAGTTAGATATTTTCCCTCTCAGTCTCCTCTTTTGTTTTGCAAGATTCTGATTTAACTGTGATAAACTTTCACCAATTTTTTTCGCTATGTATTGATTTACAGCGAAAGTTATTACTGATAGAGCAACTGGGAGATCAAAGGGATTTGGATTTGTTTCTTATGAAACAGTAGAAGAAGCTGAGAAGGCTCGTGAAGGAATGAATGCCAAGTTCTTGGATGGCTGGGTAATTTTTGTTGACCCTGCAAGGCCAAGTATGCCTAGACCACCACCGCCACCACCTCCACAAGATCCACTGAACTTTGGGATTACGACGAATAAGACTGTTGGTTGGACTGGCCAGTGACCCGGGGCTCTCATTCATTTTAGTGAAATATTATATGATTGCAATATAGCACAGACTGGCCAATGACCAGAGACTCGTGCATTTCATTGAAATATTTGATTACACTATATCATTTTTGTTGACAGATATTGTATCTTCACTAAAATATAGTTGCTCGTTTTTAAGGTTGCCTCTTATAAAAAAAGATATGGTTCATTTTTAAGGTTGTCTTGTGCTGAATTGTTTGAGGTGGAACTCTTCTCTGCGAAGTGTTTAAGGATTTCCTCTGACTACATTTTGCAGGCCTTTTTTTGACTGAATATATAAACTGGCCAACTGTTATCTCAGTGGCATGTATTTGGGCGAGATAAATTTGTTATCCTTGCCCTATAAATTTGGATCGTAGATAATATTTTCCGTGGTGGTTATAGTATTTTGATGCCCTATCTTCATTTACTCAAATGTTTCTTCAATTTACTATATGTGGATTTGAAAATGGGATTGTTCTGTGACTTGTGCAATCTCTTGCTTTCGGGGATGGAATGTTTAAATCCTGTCACATCCAAAGGGTTGACAATGGTCTTTTTTATACATAACAATGCTATCTGGATTAGCTTATTTGCACATCAACCAATTTATCGAGTATCTATTACTTCCCACAATACAAGTACAACGTAACTATGTTCACTAATGCTTAGACAAATGAGAAAAAAATTACCTAGCATCTTAGCCCTGTGTTGGAATTTAAATTGTGATCTACCATTGTTCATTTCAATTTCATTGGTAGCTAGGTCACAACCTTGTATGTGCAAGTAACTATTTGAAAATCCAACAAGATCGTGTATTATCTAAGATCTTAAAGGATTAGGTACTTCTAATATAGGATGTAGAGTTGAAATTCATATTGGATTTTATCTACTTTAAAGGGAAAACAAGCTTTTCTAACCAGACTATCACCTGTTTTTGTTTCTAGATTTAGTAAAGGGATACATGAAGTTGCTTCCTTCCTCTATATATCTTTGTGATGGATACCAAGCCAACATCTATAAAAGCAGAAGTAAATTTTATCCAATGTGGTATTTGAGTAACTAGAGGAAGGAAGCAACTTCAAATACCACTGGATAGGTTGGAGCAGAAATGGATTTAAGATTTGAACTTTGGTTGATTGTACCACAGCCCATTTGATTTTCCAGGTTCAAAATTTGCTACTTGTACTTATTTGGTGAGTTTTTGAACATATATACAGGATCTGAGCGAGTCGCCCTAGGAAGATTTACAGTAAAAAGTATTGTCAACATTTAAAACATACTCAAACTAGTTCAGCGACAATCAAACTATTAGTCAAGCACAAAAACAAGTTCAGTGACAACCAAACATTAAGAAAGTGAATGTATTTTTATCTGCAATCAACCCAAAAAACTCGGGCAATAGTGTTCGGAAATTAACAAAAGAGTTGATCGAAGAAAAGTAGTCTCAACTCCGAGCTGCTCACCAGGGAGCTCCAAACCTTTCACTTCAAGCCTGTGTTCTCCTAACTTTCCAAGCTACTTGGTCTTGCCATTCAAATACCAAGTAGCTCGGAAAAGGGAAAGTGAAAGAAACTCCATGCGGCAAAAGGAAAATGCGCATAGCACCTCAAAGTGCCTCTCATTGTGAAAAAGAGCAAATTCACAAGTCTGCCAGCTAGACCCTGCCAATCATGAGAAGGGAATTTAAATCAAATGAATAGAAGAAAGATGAGGGAAGGGTCATACTCAGACACTTATTTTTAGCAGCAAAACAAATTACTATCAAATACTTGCAAATGATTAAAGAAAAAAAGTAAAGCAACAAGCTTGGTCAAAGAAGAAAAGATCGTATAGCAATGAATACCGCACTTGGAAAAGGCAGGTAACATAGTCATCAATATGCTTGATCAGGCTGTTATGGAGATATAAATGCTATAGAATGTGTGGAAAACCAGAATAATCACAGACCAGATAAAAAATATAATATCTAGTTTTGCCAAATTAGGATGGTTGCTGATCTTAACACAGGGTCCAGAAGGCTCTGAAGCAATCTTATTTGTAGAGTTCCAATAGTGTGAATCACATATTCTAGTGAATGGATCAGTTGTAAAAGTACCTACTTTAGCATGAGAACTAGATATAATTTTTGATGACCGAGACATCCATATGGGGCCAACCCTTAGGACCAGCTGCAACCTTTGAAACTTGGGGATAATGAGCCCACCCCTCTACCCTTCTCCACCTAAAAATCCTCTTTAGTTTGCATTGCGCAGGGCTGACCTAAGTCGCAAGTCCCTCAATTTTTGCCACTTGAACTAAGCCCGGGGACCATGACAAGAACCAGATATGAATGAACTAAATCCAAAACGAAAGTACTGGTCTTAGATTTCAAGGATCGGATGAAAATAAGGAATTCTAAAGACATAGCTACCACATCTGAGCTCTTAGAAATGGAATTAGAACATTTTACCACTATGAATTGCAGCCAAGGTATTAATGGAAGAGAGTCTCATTTAGGTACAAAAGAAATACAACTATGCTTAAGTACTATTAAACAGCAAACATATCCTTTACACGGAGCCTATTCAACATCTGCTAAGTTAATTTCTTAATATGAGAACTCGTAACATATGTCTCAAGATCCTAGAAGTACAACAAAAAGAAGGGGAAATACAACTACTTCTGCAAATTTTCAACCTTCAGAGAAGAACTAATTCAACGGCAGCTCGCATCGACAATAAAATATAACATCATCATCAACAAAAATGTCCCGATCCCAAACTAGTTGGGATCTCCTATATGAATCCTCTACAACATTAAACTCTATTAGGCCTCATTTCATTCCGATACTCAATAAGTAAACAAAACCAGCCAAGCAGCAACAAAAGAGCATAAGTTGAACTATTTGATATGCTAAAAACTACTTCAAAAGGTCCAAATTCTTAAAGGAAAAACAAAGATTCCCTTTGTTCCACAATACAATTACTATTTGGAGAGTCAAACGAGTTTTCCTTAGACCATGTTTTCGCAAATACTTTTTAAATTATTTGAATTGTTAATTATCGTGACTTATAATACCTTTTATAAGTAGTTCCTACATATGTACATTTTATTACAAAAAAAGTTGACGACTCATTTACACTGAATATTAGTTAGTTTGATGCTCCTAATCTGAACCATGTCACATAAATCGATATGACGAAAAAAGTCGATCCTACATACCTCGGAGAGCCAGCATTCATATTCCTCCGAAGAATCCGACCCTCACTATTAGAGTCACCCGATTCAATCAACTCCTTCAACCCTAAATTCCCAACTTTCTCCTCTTTCTCAACTTCCTCTTCCTCCTCCTCTTGCTTCTTCTTCGTCACCTTAACAGTAGTAACTCTTTCAAAATAATTCCCATAAATATACTCAGGCGTATACCCATTTTCCTCATCAAACAGCATAATATGACCATGCCATTCCCATACCCGATAATCCGAACCCGGGTCCTCATGAAACCCGACACAAATATGATGCTCCCCAATCGTTACAGCCTGACCCGAATTGGGTTTCAAAGTTTCAATTTTTCCGCTGAGGATTGTACGGATAATTTGTTTTTCAAGACGGGATTCTTCCTTTGAGAGCTCGGATTTTGAAGAGGAACTAAAGTCTTGATCTTCTTCTTCGTCGTCATCGGAAGGGAGATTGTTGAAGAGAAGGTCTTCGAGGGATTGAGGTGAAAGAAAAGGCGGTGGGATTGAAGTTGAAGGAGGAGGACGAATTTGGAGTCGACCCATTAATGATTGGAGAAGGAGATTATCGAAATTGGGATTCATGTTTGTGGTGATAGGACTGAAATTGCAAGGGTTTTAGAAGAGGTTTTTGGGGTTTTGGTGGGGGAGACTATTTGTTTGGAATTTTTCTTTTTTGTGCTGTATGTGTAAAAGTGGACCAGGTACAGGTAGTGGGCTGAGAAATATCTTTGGGATTTTGTTTTTCGGCTATTAAAGTAAAAAAATGGATAAATGGAAGCTGAGGTACTAGTGTTTGTGTCAAATGGGGTGTTAAGGATTTTGTATAATGTTTTCACTTAAGACATAAATTCATATTACTAGATTTTTTTTCGAAAAACAACTTTTGAGGAATAATTTTTTAAGATGTATAAAGAGAGAAGCACACTAAGTATTGAATGTTGTGGTCTAAGTATCAAGAAAATGGATGAAAATAATGTGAGATTAGTGTTTAAATCTGATATGTGTCGCATTTTGTGTATGTACCAAAATTCTGGAACGTAGCTTGTAGCATCGTAGATCCAGTTATGTTCCTAAAGGTGATGTCTTGGCTATGTAGTCTGCCCACTCATCCCTTAAAATGAGAAAACAAACACTAATCAGATTAACGATATGAGCACTTATGCACGTAATACAAAAAAATATTTTAATACTTAAGGTGAATGATCTGTTTAGGAATTGGAGTGAAGAACAATTAATTTGAAATGGTGTATAAATACCCTCTTTCCAACTATTGGGTTATAAATATCATTAACGTTACGGTTAGGATTAAAAATGTCATCCTTTTAGCAGCACCATGACATGGCAGTTTAATTAAACAGATGACCTTGGTTTATTGGTCCATATGAATTTCTGACCCAATTCAAAGGACCTGACATGCACATAACTAAACTCAACACCCAACCCCCTAAGGCAAAAATACATAAGTAACCCCTAAATTATAGACTAAATTCCTATTACATATTTTTTGAAGACAAATCACATTATACACTCAATATTTTCAAAGTGTATCTAATACACACTATTTTGTCCACGTGGACATTGTGTGTTTTCCCAACAATGAGTCGCGTGAACAGAAGAATTTTTGTGTTAGATGTCAAATCCTTTTTAGTTTTTAAAAATTTTAAATTGAGTCATCTTCTTCCTTTTAAAAAAATTCTGACATGGCTACTCCTTGAGACCTTGACACTTAGACCCACTTCTCTCCACTACCCGATCTCCTTCTTCTCAAATAGACCCACCACGATTTCTCATATCACTTCTCGTTGATTAGTTTTTAATTTTTTTTTTTCCAGATCTTTTGGCGAGAAATTTAGATTAGATTCAGCAGTTAAAGCTTTTTTGTAGCTCTGCCAATCATTAAAGCTTGTCTCAACCTTTTGCATAGAAGATTTTTTTTTTTTTTTTGCAGAGAAGCTTAACTTGAGCTTTTGCCATGGCGAAGTCGAATTTTCCGGAAGCATGAATTTTTCGAAATTTTTTCCAACCATTAAGGCTTAGCTCAAGCTTTTGCACATTCTTTAATTTTATTAATGGAAGATTTTTAAATAGTTGAATTGTGGTGATGCCGGTTATGGTAGTCGAACTTTTACAGAAGAGAAATGGAAAATGAGTTGGATCTGGGCTCAAAATTTCTGATTCAATTTTAGCAGAAAAGATGGAGGTTTGGGTGTGTTTTCTGGTGATTTTTGTTAGTTAATGGTGGCTTTGTCATTAAATAAAAGGCCGGGGGGAGAGGCTATGGTGTTTGATGGTGAAGAGAGGAGGACGACAACCATGGTAGTTTAGATGAGGAAGATGAGAGGTATAATTATAATTATAATTATTTTATTTTTAATAAAATAATGATATGTGTCACTGTTTGATTGGTGTGTGACATTATACATGTTTTAAAAAACTGGTCAAGAAAAAATAGTATGTATTAGATACACTTTGTAAAAGTTGAGCGTGTAGTATAATTTTTGTCCGCAAAAAAGTGTGTAACAGAGATTCGGCCCATAATTTGGGGGGTAACTTATGTATTATACCTTTTTAAAATTATCCTACCTCATATATTCTTCTTCCACGACTAGAGATTGGGTAGAGGTTCCTTTGTCATAGCAGAAGAAAATAATTTGTTCTTCAGATTTCTTCGATTTTCTAAATAAGGGGAGAGTTCCAGGTAGATGATGACCGAACAAAGAAGAGGTTGACGAGGAAGTAATTAATTTGGAAAACAGCAACAATAGCAAATTCGACCATTGATGCAACTTCGAAAAATGGTCGGTGGAGATAAATACTATCAAAATCGAAGTAGCAACATGAGTTGAGCTTAGAAGGAGCTCCAATGGCAGAACAAATATGTGAACCTAGAAAGAGAAATGTGGAGAAGAAGCTTCCAGATTCTGAGAGAATGAAAACTCTTACTTTGATTAAGATATTTACACGTGTATTTATACAAAACAACTAATAGTTAACCACTTCTCTAATACTAATATCACTAACAAAGAGTGCTGAGCTGTAATAATTGTTGAGTTATAACAAATACATGTAGTACTATATGAGTGTGTGTGTGTGGTTAAATATATAATTTCAAGACCTCCCCTCAAGTTGGAGGTGAGGAGGTCACACCCAACTTTCTAAGAAGGAAAGAATGTTTGATCCTAGTAAGAGACTTGGTAAATATGTCGACCAACTGCTCCTTTTTAGGAATGTAATGTAAAGAAATCAGTCATTCTTGAAGTTTGTCGCGGACGAAATGATAATCCACTTCAATATACTTCGTGCGCTCATGAAACACTGGGTTTTTGGCAACGTGTATGGTAGCTTGGCTATCACAGAATACTGGTATGGGGAAAGACAAGGGTACAATGAGCTCATCTAACAACCTTATAAGCCAAACCAACTCCCCAACCACCTTCCTACAGATCTGTACTCTGCCTCACCAGAAGAAAGAGCAAGATTGTTTCTTTGACTTCCAGCTAATGGGACTGTCCCCAAGAAGCACTATGTACCCACTTACTAATTTTCTGGACTCAGGACATGTTGCCCAATCTGAGTCACAGAAGGCTCGAACTCTGTAGTCGTCACTATTAGAAAGAAAGATGTCTAAGTTTGGATCTCCTTTGAGGTATCTTAGCACATGAAATGCAACCTTCAGGTAAGGATCTCTAGGACTTTTCATGAACTGACTTAAGTGTTGCACGCTATAAGCAATGTCGAGTCTAGTATTGGTAAGAAAATTCAGTTTACCAATCAACTTTCTATAAAATGTTGGATCTGGCAGCAGGGTCCCCCCATCCACCTTTAACTTGATTGAAGGATTTACTATCTTGAATGGTGTTGAATCTTTAATTCTGAAAGCACGCACACACCACCCACACCTATCATCATTGCATTTCAACAAATATCTTGTTGAGCTTGATCTAACAACCTTGAATTCAAAATGTCCTTTAATTACTATATTGGAAAAACAGTTAATTATACTCTTCTTTTTGTCAAATATTGACCCCACTTTTATTTCATCCAACGAAGCATTTTCTCTTAATATCGTAGAGGAGAAGACATTGGAGAATATTGCAGACAATCATATTCCTTTAATAGATCCATGGTGAACTTCCTTTGGGATATTAAGACACTATCATGTTTATACAAAACCTCAAGTCCTAAGAAGTAGTTCAACCTCCCCAAATCCTTTATCTTAAATGTCTAATATAGGAACCCTTTTAGTGATTCAATCTCATTTAGTTGGGACCCTGTGATTATAACATCATCGACATACACGGCAACAAAAATGACTGAAGATCCAGCTTTCTTATAAAATAAGGAATAATCTAACAATTGAATGTGCATACCCTCTGGAACACAATTCCTTTGCTAATTTTACATACCATTGCCTACTTGCCTGCTTTAAGCCATAAAGGGACTTATTTAACTTGCACACCAAGTCTGGCCTCTCTACTACCAGACCAGGAGGTACATCTATATACACTTCTTCATGAAGGTCTCCATGAAGGAATGTGTCACGACCCAAAAACCACCACAGGAGTCGTGATGACACCTAATCTCTAAGACTAGGGCACCTAGTCTCTAAGATTAGGTAAGCTGATTTCCATTGCATTTTTGAGGCCATTTTTTTTTGAATTAAATAAGTAACCAAAACTAACAGCGAAAATAATTACAATATACAACCTCCCAAGACTGGTAGTAATGAGTCACGAACTCTAACTGAGTACATAGAATGATCACGAGAACCGAATATACAATACTGTTTGATTACAAGTTAACAGTACAATGAAATAAAAGGACTCTAAGGAACTGCGACGACCAAGCAACTCTACCTTGAATCCTTACGATCCCGCTTTAACTTTGCTCAAGTCCGTTATCTTCAATACCTGGCTCTGCATAAAAATGTGCAGAAGTGTAGAGTGAGCA